CTGTTCAATGAAGACAGCTGTGGGGAGGTGGTTGTCTCTGGCCCAGGCTGTGGCAGACAGTATTATAAGAAGACCAGACGAGGCTAGACACAGTATGGCCACACACATGAAGCTCACCACATAGACGTGGGCGTATGGGCGGCGGGAGGCACACACGCCCAGGAAGCCGCATAAGCCTACCACAGCGCCAGCCCACAGGCCCACGCCCAGGTTGGAGAGGGTGGCGTGGAGGATGAGTGCTAATGCTCCCAGGGCCACCATGAATATGGCCATGAGCAGCTTGAACAGGGACAGGGAAAGGGCCAGCTTGGCTGGGAAAAAATGGCCCTGAGGGTCGACGGCATCGGTGGTGCCAGAGACGGACTTCAGGGAACGCCAGGTTAGTCCAGTGCCACGGCTACTGGTGCCACGCCCACCAGAGACCAACAACACGTCCCGTAGTGACCCACCGCCCGCACTCACGCCCATCACGCCTCTAACACCAACAACCTCGCTGACACTCTAGAACACTTCTCAGAATTTCAAATAGTTTGACACCGAAAAAATCGCTACTGACACAAGATCTTCCAGCACAATATTCATAATAGTACACACACTAGGTAAATCTCATGAACGTTTGCTACTGTCACGTATATTTCATTTGTATTGGTCCATGAAAAAAAACAAATGCCAGTCAAGAATCCAAGGAGCGCGAGGTAGTACACCCTCCCTCATAGACGACTGAAGCAACACTGCCTGGTGGTCGCCACACACCTGACTGACTGAATGGCGGCTCAGGAAGCTGCTCTTGTGTACGTTCTTAACATTTTGTTCCCTCCTACCCCTCAGGGAAGGTTCCTTGATGTTGGTGAGGGGCTCTTGATTTAGGGAATTGGATCTGTGCTCCAGTTCCCCGAATTAAGCCTGAATGCCTTCCACATCCCTCCCAGGCGCTGTATAATCCTACGGGTTTAGCGCTTCCCCTTGATTATAATAATAATAATAATGTTCCCTCCTAGACCGGGTCTTTAAATGTCTAAATAATGATCAGCCTTAGTTTATTTTAAATAATCGTAGCATTCTTCAGTACATAAAATGAATATATAAATGTCAGTGAATGCAATCCACCATCATTCTCTACCCGATAATTATTATTAAATACTAATAGTTTACTTAAAAGTGTAACTTTTCAGTTATATTGAAGGTGCGCAGGTATTATGGACACATATATAATATATTATATAGACTTACACTTGAATAATCAAATAACTTCAGACAATGTGACATATTTTCACTGTAATCCTGAGTGACTGTGTAAAAATCTTGGAGACAATTGTCCTCAAGACTCCAACTGTCTACTTGACGGACTCGGAACGTTCATGCATCCTCCCCAGATACCTAATATCATGCATTGAAATGTGCATCATTGTATCACTACTTCTCAGACACCTAACATCATGCAAGGAGGTAATGTGTATCATTGTACCACTTCTTCCCTCCCCAGATACCTAATATCTTGCAGGGAAGTAATGTGTATCATTGTACCCTGCAGTGTGCTTCATTATATCACTATTTCCCTCCCCAGATACCTGACATCATTGCAGTGCTTATCACTGTACCACTACTTCCCTCCCCAGTTACCTGACATCATTGCAGTGCTCATTATACCATTGCTTCCCTCTCCAGATACCTGACATCATTGCAGTGCTCATCGCTGCACCACTACTTTCCTCCCCAGATACCTGACATCATTGCAGTGCTCATCGCTGCACCACTACTTTCCTCCCCAGATACCTGACATCATTGCAGTACTCATTATACCATTATTTCCCTACCCAGATTCCTGACATCATTGCAGTGCTCATCACTGCACCACTACTTTCCTCCCCAGATACCTGACATCATTGCAGAGCTCATCATTATACCATTACTTCCCCTTACCCTGCTCACCGACAGTTGTTCCAGCAGCTTTCAAGATCCTCAGTGGAATGTGCTGGAGTGACTATTGTCTCGTAACACAATGGAGAAGAGCCGAGAATTTTTCTGTTTCAGGTATTTCCACATTTACCAGAAGTTTTCATCTGTTTGACCCCAGTGGCTTTAGCGCTTTTTTCCACGAATAAAGTAAGAAATTAGAGGTATTTTTAATGTTGCTAAGTGATATCCGTAAATGAACTTCTGGAGAATGGATGTAGGTGGATAGTGTGTACACTAGACAGTTTAGGGGATAGTGTCTACAATGGATAGTGCAGGTGAATAGTGTCTATACTGGATAGTGTAGGTGGATGGTGTCTACACTAAAGTGTAGGTGGATGATGTCTTCACTGAACAGTGTAGGTGGATGTGTCTACGCTAAACAGTGTAGGTGGATGGTGTCTACACTAAAGTGTAGGTGGATGGTGTCTACACTGAACAGTGTAGGTGGATGTGTCTACGCTAAACAGTGTAGGTGGATGGTGTCCACACTGGACAGTGTAGGTGGATGGTGTCTACACTAAACAGTGTAGGTGGATGGTGTCTACACTAAACAGTGTAGGTGGATGGTGTCTACACTGGACAGTGTAGGTGAATGGTGTCTATACTGGACAGTGTAGGTGGATGGTGTCTACACTGGACAGTGTAGGTGAATGGTGTCCACACTAAGCAGTGTAGGTGATTGGTGTCTACACTAAACAGTGTAGGTGGATGGTGTCTACACTGGGCAGTGTAGGTGAATGGTGTCTATACTGGACGGTGTAGGTGGATGGTGTCTACACTGGACAGTGTAGGTGGATGGTGTCTACACTGGACAGTGTAGGTGGATGGTGTCCACACTAAAGAGTGTAGGTGGATGGTGTCTCCACTAAACAGTGTAGGTGGATGGTGTCTACACTAAACAGTGTATGTGGATGGTGTCTACACTGGACAGTGTAGGTGGATGGTGTCTACGCTAAACAGTGTAGGTGGATGGTGTCTACACTGGACAGTGTATGTGGATGGTGTCTACACTGGACAGTGTAGGAGGATGATGTCTACACTGGACAGTGTAGGTGGATGGTGTCCACACTAAACAGTGCAGGTGGATGGTGTCTACACTAAACAGTGTAGATGGATGGTGTCTACACTGTACAGTGTAGGTGGATGGTGTCTACAATAAACAGTGTAGGTGGACGGTGTCTACACTAAACAGTGTAGGTGGATGGTGTCTACACTGAACAGTGTAGGTGGATGGTGTCTACACTAAACAGTGTAGGTGGACGGTGTCTACACTAAACAGTGTAGGTGGACGGTGTCTACACTAAACAGTGTAGGTGGATGGTGTCTACACTAAACAGTGTAGGTGGATGGTGTCCACACTAAACAGTGTAGGTGGATGGTGTCTACACTAAACAGTGTTGGTGGATGGTGTCTACACTGGACAGTGTAGGTGGATGGTGTCTACACTGGAGTGTAGGTGGATGGTGTCTACACTGGACAGTGTAGGTAGATGGTGTCCACAATAAACAGTGTAGGTGAATGGTGTTTACACTAAACAGTGTAGGTGGATGGTGTTTACACTGGACAGGGTAGGTGGATGGTGTCTACACTGGACAGTGTAGGTGGATGGTGTCTACACTGGACAGTGTAGGTGGATGGTGTCTACACTGGACAGTGTAGGTGGATGGTGTCTACACTGGACAGTGTAGGTGGATGGTGTCTACACTGGACAGTGTAGGTAGATGGTGTCCACAATAAACAGTGTAGGTGAATGGTGTTTACACTAAACAGTGTAGGTGGATGGTGTTTACACTGGACAGGGTAGGTGGATGGTGTCTACACTGGACAGTGTAGGTGGATGGTGTCTACACTGGACAGTGTAGGTGGATGGTGTCTACACTGGACAGTGTAGGTGGATGGTGTCTACACTGGACAGTGTAGGTGGATGGTGTCTACACTGGACAGTGTAGGTGGATGGTGTCTACACTGGACAGTGTAGGTGGATGGTGTCTACACTGGACAGTGTAAGTTGATGGTGTCTACACTGGACAGCTTCCTGTCATCTGTTCACTTTTCGCTTGTTAACGGAGGTGCGTGGAAGGGCTCTTAATGCAAGGAATTGGAATTATCCTCCCGTTCCTCGCATCAAGCCTCATGCCTCCCAGTCCCCGGGTGCTGTATGACTGAATAAATAAATAATAATAATGTTAATAAAAATGCTACTACTACTAATAATAAGTATTATATAATTATTACTTCATCTGATCAAGACAAACCTGTTATCTGTTTCTGTTATATATATATATATATATATATTATATATATATATATATATATATATATATATATATATATATATATATATATATATATATATATATATATATATATATATATATATATATAATATTTGCAGTGTTCAAGCATGTGTGGCATGTTAAGCAACTCTGGGCTCCTTCACGAGGCTTCAACATTTCCAAAGTGCTTTTCTCTGCAGCTCTGTGTCGAATTTTCCCATGGAATATATTGTGCAATGGGGTAAGAAAAAATTAGGAGAGTCTTTGCTACATAAAGTAAAAAGATTTTTCCATGCACTTATAGGTTGATTTAATATAATTTTGTTAGTGAATGGTGTATAGTCATGTATCGAGAATAGAAAAATCAGGTTGATTTGTTGTGTCGTTAGGATGTTGTAACCTTTGAGCTACCAGACGAGGCTACACGTGATATGTCGACCTTATGTAGTGTTCATCTTAATTAATGGGGGAACAAGGGTAGGTGGATGACGGTTGCCAGTTGACTCCCTCTCAAAGTGTAGCTCCCTCAGGACCCCTTCTCTGTAACTCCCTCAGAAGCCCTCTTTAACTTCCTCATAAGCCTTCTTTAGGCTTGCGCCTCCTTCAGGAGCCCTCTATACGTCCTTCAGGAGCACTTGGTATCTAGTTCAGGAGCGCTGTATAGCTTCCTCGATAATGGGGTTGCAAAAGTTCTCGAAAGATAAATTATTATATACAGCTATCCCATGTACACAACAATGACACAGCCTGACACTGGGTTCACCTGGCATCAGCGCCCCGAAGGCTATATTACAGTGTAAACTATTTTTGACACCTGATTAGTTACCCTTCACCTACCAGGAATCGAACCCGATTACCTCCTAGACCCTGTGTGAGCCTTACGAATTTGGCCTTCTCCCATGAATGCAATAAACAGTGCATTATTAAAATAATTATTGTTCGGTATTATTATTAAACTCAGAATACCGTCGGGAGCTAATTTCTTCAGTGAATAGCTTCTTGGTCACGAACACGAGGGATGGAAGGGTAAATGTCAGTGTCATTATACCACAGCTCAAAAAAGAACATGCCTAAAGGCAAAAACAGGCTTCCGGCCAAGGTCTGGCACCATTAAAAAAATGACTTTATGGGCAGCAATGTGTGCCATTTGAGGGACGTACGTGGTGGGAAGGACCACGGCCCGACTACCGCAAGTCAAGGACGCATCAGCTGAGCTCAGAGTCGCACTGTCTTCTGTGTATTAGCTGAGTTCCGCACCACACTGTGTATTAGCTGAGTTCACCACAACAAGAAGAGTGCCAAAAGGTGTCTGATGAATGTAGCTACAGAAAGGTAGGGGAATGATTTTCTATTTTTTAGCTAACATACGTGTAAATTTTACCTTATTCCAAGTAATGACCCTCGTATTGTAGATAGTCTTAATGACCCTCCTGTAGTAGATAGTCTTTTTAGTATGATAATAAGATGTTATCTTCATTATAGAATAATAAGAAAATATTATAACCTTTATA